ACAACCAACTGCATAACCTGTCGACAGGAACCGAAGAGTTCCTCTTGCTGCCATCAAGCGGCAAAGCTGCCGGTTGCCAGGTGGAGAGGACCAGAGGCAATGACGCGTCTTGGAATGCCCCTGGCGCGGTAAATATCTACTGTTTTAGGAATTCGGTAGATTTCAGGTAGCAATCCTAGCTACCAGGTCAAGTCGAGATCGATATTCGAGCTGTGATTCAATATAGGGAATGATGAAGCAAAGGTATTCTTGAATGTCCTACTGCTCCTGACTGAACATTTCCATAACGCAGTCCAATTGAGTATGGATGAGGGGACATGTGGATATTAGTATCCTGCTCAGCAAGCTGTCTAAGGTGCAGTAAGTCATCTCTTAAGGAAGTGAGCTTCCCATTACTGGAGAGTGCTTATGATATTCGGTTTTCTATGCTTAATCTGTCCAAATCACCCTTCTTGTTTGACAGGCTATGTAGAGCCTGGAGAAGAGTCCAGTCGTCTTTATGAAGGCTAGTTGCTAATTCTAGTTGAGACTTTATCATAGAAGTGAATGCAGTTAGCTTGTTGAGCTTAATAGTGTCACCAATAGGACAGACTTGTTTCAAGGCGTTCTCTTTACATATGAAGGAATTTGTTCTTTTGTCCAGTTTTCACAACATTTTTGCACACTCTTCACGGCTTCTGGACACAAGATTTCTTTGTATGTAGTTGGAAATCATTAGTCAGCTTCTTTCTTTCTTCTAAAATATTTCCATTTTCCATGACAAGTGTGTAAGTGCTTTCACACCCTTGAAAGAAACTTGTCCTGCGTCGTGTTGGTTTGCTCATGATGGTGAAGCTAGCCTGGTTTGCTCTTGCTTTCATGATGATTCAAATTCAGCAATGACCCAAAGTACTTGGAATTCCGCAAATCATCCATCGTCGAAGTGCATTAGGTTTCCAGTCAAACCGCCGACTGCACCACCATCACCTTTGATGCAGGCATTGTTCTTGCCCATGGGCCTGGTCTAGTGCCATTGCAGAAAAAACGGCGGGCTGTCTTTTTGCTGTGAAATGTCCAGCTTGAAACTTGCAGCCACATCAGGATGCTTGGTCCGAGAGCCTGTCCTTCAGGTGGACTCAAAACCCACAAGAACAGCCTGAGCAGATCCAAGGCGAACCAATGACACAGTTCGAGCCAGAGCATCCATGTATATGAGTATTTTGATTCTCGTAGGATCTAACAAACATAAAGACATTTCCAGCTCTAGGTTGAGGGTGAAGGCTCAGTACTGAAACTGGGGACAACATTATCTAGCCCTCTTTGAGTTGGGACAATTCAGACACCAAACTCTAGCTCATGACCATCACTTTGGGTATCTTTCGGTGTATTTAAGATAAGCCTTGTGCTGTAGGATGTTCAGGTTGCTGCTGTTATCTGATGGCCCTGCCTGCGTGTGACGAGCAGCCTTTAGGAAAGAGTTCGCGTTCCTGGCTGGCAATATCGGCTTGCACCAGGGTTTCTGCCCAATTCGCTACCCTGCAACCAACGCCTGCCATCCCCTGAGCTGCCATTTCCAATGTGGAGACCGCCCAGGAATCATAATAAATTTCGCCAGGAATTTCTAAATCAATTCCACTGAATCTGTTTGCCGCTGCGCAATGGTTAGCCCCATGATTACTGGGGCTTGACCTTTTCTTTCCTATAGCCTATTATTTCTTATGCTTCGCAGTAATAGATGGTCTCACAGGATTAAGACAGTAACGTAAGGAAACCTGAATTTTTTCCCGGATCCGCCCCTGACGAGAAGCGGCCACCAAACCAGTATCGAGTTGTTCCATATCTGAAAATGTTTATATACCATTACTCCATCGCTGTGCCAAATTTGGCAGTTTTCATCATTATTAAATGCAATTGTTATATATACTGTAGCCATGTCTAATTATAAGGCAGCCTGCGGCAGCTTAAAAACGGTTCGTTAGACGCCTAGAACATTCTAGCGATTCTAGTTTTCAAGATTAAAATACGAAATTACTCCTCGGCATAACAATATATATATATATATATATATATATATATATATATATATATATATATATATATATATATATATATATTGATAAAATCACAAGGAAAAGGAAACAATGGGCACTAAGCTTTCTTTATTCAAGACATCTTCAGAAGCAACTGAATTAAGGACGGAGAGAGGTTAGTACATAGGGTGACCTTACCTGTGTCTTCCTCCATGTATATATATATATATATATATATATATATATATATATATATATTATTGTGTGGTGTATGAACTTCTGGTTATTGATTAATAAAATACAATACAATAAATGAATATAAAAATGGCCTTAGGTTAACATAAATTCCACATCAAGAGTTACAAAAGTTGTAACCATAATGTAATGTAATTTTATATAACCTAGACTGTGGGGAGGTGTCTAACAGTCTCTCTTAGACCACTACACATTGATGACGTCTCCTTAGTTCACACGGTTAATTTCTGTCAACACTACATGGGACGCTGGACACCACGGGCTAACTGCTTCACTTAATCTACTGCATGTATAATGTATATATCATTCAAAATGGCGTCAAAATGGTAATGAGACTGTACTGGAACTATATATCTTCCCTTAAAAGTCAACAGCGCGATGATTACCTCTGACCTATAACAGAGGTGACCTTGGTGACAAAACAACCACAAGAATAGTGAACACAGAACTACAAAAAGAAGAATGGTGAACACAGAGCTACAACAAGAATAATGGTGAACACAGAACTACAACAAGAAGAATGGTGAACACAGAGCTACAACAAGAATAATGGTGAACACAGAACTACAACAAGAAGAATGGTGAACACAGAGCTACAACAAGAATAATGGTGAACACAGAGCTACAACAAGAATAATGGTGAACACAGAGCTACAACAAGAAAATGGTGAACCAGAGCTACAACAAGAAGAATGGTGAACACAGAGCTACAACAAGAATAATGGTGAACACAGAACTACAACAAGAATAATGGTGAACACAGAGCTACAACAAGAATAATGGTGAACCAGAACTACAACAAGAAGAATGGTGAACAGAGCTACAACAAGAAGAATGGTGAACACAGAGCTACAACAAGAATAATGGTGAACACAGAGCTACAACAAGAAGAATGATTGACACAGGGCTACAACAAGAAGAATGGTGAACACAGAGCTACAACAAGAATAATGGTGAACACAGAACTACAACAAGAAGAATGGTGAACACAGAACTACAACAAGAAGAATTGAACACAGAGCTACAACAAGAATAATGGTGAACACAGAGCTACAACAAGAATAATGGTGAACACAGAACTACAACAAGAAGAATGGTGAACACAGAACTACAACAAGATGGTGAACACAGGCTACAACAAGAATAATGGTGAAACACAGGCTACAACAAGAATAATGGTGAACACAGAGCTACAACAAGAATAATGGTGAACACAGAACTACAACAAGAAGAATGGTGAACACAGAGCTACAACAAGAATAATGGTGAACACAGAACTACAACAAGAAGAATGGTGAACACAGAGCTACAACAAGAATAATGGTGAACACAGAGCTACAACAAGAATAATGGTGAACACAGAACTACAACAAGAAGAATGGTGAACACAGAGCTACAACAAGAATAATGGTGAACACAGAACTACAACAAGAAGAATGGTGAACACAGAGCTACAACAAGAATAATGGTGAACACAGGCTACAACAAGAATAATGGTGAACACAGAACTACAACAAGAAAAATGGTGAACACAGGCTACAACAAGAATAATGGTGAACACAGAGCTACAACAAGAATAATGGTGAACACAGAACTACAACAAGAAGAATGGTGAAACAGAGCTACAACAAGAATAATGGTGAACACAGAACTACAACAAGAAGAATGGTGAACACAGAGCTACAACAAGAATAATGGTGAACACAGAGCTACAACAAGAATAATGGTGAACACAGAACTACAACAGAAGAATGGTGAACACAGAGCTACAACAAGAATAATGGTGAACACAGAACTACAACAAAGAAGAATGGTGAACACAGAGCTACAACAAGAATAATGGTGAACACAGAGCTACAACAAGAATAATGGTGAACACAGAGCTACAACAAGAAAAATGGTGAACACAGAGCTACAACAAGAAAAATGGTGAACACAGAACTACAAAAAGAAGAATGGTGAACACAGAGCTACAACAAGAATAATGGTGAACACAGAGCTACAACAAGAATAATGGTGAACACAGAACTACAACAAGAAGAATTGTGAACACAGAGCTACAATCAGACTAATGGTGAACACAGAACTACAACAAGAAGAATGGTGAACACAGAACTACAACAAAGAAGAATGGTGAACAAACTACAACAAGAAGAATGGAAACACAGAGCTACAACAAGAATAATGGTGAACACAGAGCTACAACAAGAATAATGGTGAACACAGAACTACAACAAGAAGAATGGTGAACACAGAGCTACAACAAGAATAATGGTGAACACAGAACTACAACAAGAAGAATGGTGAACACAGAGCTACAACAAGAATAATGGTGAACACAGAGCTACAACAAGAATAATGGTGAAAACAGAACTACAACAAGAAAAAGAACACAGAGCTACAACAAGAAAATGGGAACACAGAACTACAAAAAGAAGAATGGTGAACACAGAGCTACAACAAGAATAATGGTGAACACAGAGCTACAACAAGAATAATGGTGAACAGAACTACAACAAGAAGAATTGTGAACACAGAGCTACAATCAGACTAATGGTGAACACAGAGTACAAAAGAAGAATGGTGAACACAGAACTACAACAAGAAGAATGGTGAACACAGAACTACAACAAGAAGAATGGTGAACACAGAGCTACAACAAGAAGAATGGTGAACACATAACTACAATCAGACTAATGGGAACACAGAACCACAACAAGAACCACAAAAACTCACTTGCGTCTTCGTAACTTCTTTGTTTTGGTCTTGACCTTAAGGTCGGTGGTGGAGATTGGTAAGTCGTCCTTGTACCAGAACACCTGAGGTAGAGGAAGCCCCTGAACCGTGCACTCCAGCGTCAAGTTGTAGTTCTCCACCACAGAGTCGTCTAGTAGCCCTGTTACCTTCGGCGGTTCTCCTGAAACACAGACGAGACGGATTGTTACTTGTGGTTCTATACTGAATGGAAGTTGTATACAGACTCTTGGGGACACATGAACACTATATTATTGAATGTGACAATGTCAAAGACTTCAGGCCATCTGGCTTATTGTATTATGAACTTTGCAATTATTACATTGAATCAGGAGTGCTTGAGGACATTCTTGCTGTGTATCCAAAATTTGCTAGCACACACTGATTATTCCTGCATGGCAATGAACAGTGATATCACCCACATGACTCTAACCTATATATACTGTTAATGAATATGATCTATTCCTTTGTGTATGAACCTCTGTCCTGCGTGGCAGTGAACAGTGAAAGCATCCTCAGTGTCAAGACCTGACTGAATTACTCACAATAGGCAAGCTTTGTCAATAAATTTGTTAAACGTTAACCGTTGGGGAAAGAGTCAGGTGTGAGGGAGAGTGGTGGTGGTGGTGGTGACGTGGTGGTGGTGGTGGTGGTGGTGGTGGTGGTGGTGGTGGTGGTGGTGGTGGTGGTGACGGTGTGGTGGTGGTGATGGTGGTGGTGGTGGTGATGGTGGTGGGGGTGGGGGTGGTGGTGGTGGTGGTGACGGTGGTGTGGTGGTGGTGGTGGTGATGGTGGTGGTGGTGAGGTGGTGGGGTGGTGGTGGTGGTGGTGGTGTGGTGGGGTGGTGGGTGGTGACGGTGGTGTGGTGGTGGTGGTGGTGGTGGTGGTGGTGGTGGTGGTGGTGTGGTGGTGGTTGGTGGTGAAGGTGGTGGTGGTGGTGGTGGTGACGGTGGCGGTGGTGGTGTGGTGGTGGTGGTGGTGACGGTGGTGGTGGTGATTGATGGTGGTGGTGGTGAAGGTGGTGGTGTGGTGGTGACGGTGGTGGTGGTGGTGATGGTGGTGGTGGTGAGGTGGTGGTGGGTGTGGTGGTGGTGGTGAAGGTGGTGGTGTGGTGGTGGTGGTGGTGATGGTGGTGAAGGTGATGGTGATGATGGTGGTGGTGGTGGTGGTGGTGGTGGTGGTGACGGTGTGGTGGTGGTGGTGGTGGTGGTGGTGGTGGGTGGTGGTGGTGGTGGTGACGGTGGTGGTGGTGGTGGTGGTGGTGGTGTGGTGGTGGTGGTGGTGGTGACGGTGTGGTGTGATGGTGGTGGTGGTGGTGACGGTGGGGTGGTGGTGGTGGTGGTGGTGGTGATGTGGTGGTGGTGGTGGTGGTGGTGGTGGTGGTGACGGTGGTGGTGGTGGTGGTGTGGTGGTGTTTGGTGGGTGGTGGTGACGGTGGTGGTGGTGGTGTGGTGGTGGTGGTGGTGGCGTTGGTGGTGTGGTGGTGGCGGTGGTGGTGGTGGTGGTGGTGGAAGGTGATGTGGGTGGTGGTGGTGGTTGATTGGTGGTGAGAGTTGGTGGTGGTGGTGGTGGTGTGGTGGTGGTGGTGGGCTGGTGGTGACAGTGGTGACGGTGGTGTGGGTGGCGGTGTGGTGGTGACGGTGGTGGTGGTGGTGGTGATGGTGGTGGTGGTGGGCAGTGATGGTGGTGGTGGTGACGGTGGTGGTGACGGTGAGTGGTGGTGTGGTGGTGGTGACGGTGGTGGTGTTGGTGGTGGTGGTGGTGGTGGTGATGGTGGTGTGGTGGTGGTGGTGGGTGGTGATGGTGACGGTGGTGGGGTGGTGACGTTGGTGGTGGTGGTGGTGGTGGTGGTGGTGGTGGTGGTGGTGATGGTGACGGTGGTGGGTGGTGGTGGTGGTGGTGTGGTGGTGTGGTGGTGGTGTGGTGATGGTTGGGTGGGTGGGTGGGTTGGTGGTGTGGTGTGGTGGTGGTGGTGTGGTGGTGGTGACAGTGGTGGTGGTGTTGGTGGTGGTGGTGGTGTGGTGGGGTGGTGTTGGTGGTGGTGGTGGTGGTGGTGGTGGTGGTGGTGACGGTGGTGGTGGTGGTGGTGGTGACGGTGGTGGTGGGTGGTGACGGTGGTGGTGGTGGTGGCGGCGGTGGCAGTGATGGTGGTGGTGTGTGTGGTGGTGGTGGTGACGGTGGTGGTGGTGGTGGTGGTGACGGTGGTGGTGGTGTTGGTGGTGGTGGTGGTGGGTGGTGATGTGGTGGTGGTGGTGACGGTGGTGGTGGTGGTGGGCGGTGGTGGTGGTGGTGGTGGTGGTGACGGTGGTGGTGGTGACGTGGTGGTGGTGGTGGTGCGGCGGTGGGTGATGGTGGTGGCGGTGGTGGTGGTGGTGACGGTGAGTGGGTGGGTGGTGGTGGTGGTGGTGGTGACTGTGGTGGTGGTGTTGATGGTGGTGGTGGTGGTGGTGGTGGTGGTGTGGTGGTGGTGGTGGTGACAGTGGTGGTGGTGGGTGGTGGTGTGGTGGTGGTGGTGGTGGTGGTGGTGGTGGTGGTGGTGGTGGTGGCGGTGGGTGGTGGTGGAGGCTTACTCCTGGCACTGGTTGTAATATATGAAGCGAGGTGACTTCCATTGTTGCACCACCAACACCACCACCACACTATATTACACTACATAAAATTGACTCATTAACTGGTAAACAAGAAGAGCGGCAGTTGAGAGAGAGAGAGTGTGTGTTACGATTTCTCTGGGGTGGTGGAACGTGGGAGACAGCCTCTATGACCACCTCATTTAGATAAAAGTAACTCATTAGCCATTCAGAACACTTATAAAATCTAAGTGAATTTTTGCAGCCGTTTCAGTACGTTCAACTCCGTCTTCCCTCCCATGTAAGTCACCCTACCTTCCTCTCTTCCTCCCCCACTCTCTTTCTCGTTCCTCTCCTCCTCTCCTCCCCTTTTCTCTCTTCTCCTCTTTCCTCCTCCTCCCCTCTCTTTCTCAGTTCCTTCCTCTCTTCCTCCTCTTGCCTCCCCTTCTTCTTCTCTCTCCTTCCTTTCTTCCTCCTCTTGCCTCCCCACTCTCTTTCTCTCAGTTCTCCCCTCCTTCCTCTTTTCTTGCCTCCCCCACTCTCTTTCTCTCAGTTCTCCCTCTCTCCTTCCTCTCTTCCTCCTCTTGCCTCCCCACTCTCTTTCTCTCAGTTCTCCCCTCTCCTTCTCTCTTCCTCCTCTTGCCTCCCCCCTCTCTTTCTCTCATTCTCCCCTCTCTCCTTCCTCTCTTCCTCCCCCTCTCTTCTCTAGTTCTCCTCTCTCCTTCCTCTCTTCCTCCTCTTGCCTCCCCCCTCTCTTTCTCTCAGTTCTCCTCTCCTTCCTCTCTTCCTCCTCTTGCCTCCCCTCTTTCTCTCAGTTCTCCCTCCTTCCTCTCTTCCCGTCAAGACAAAACATCTTCATGAATGAAATCTCGTCTCATAATTGGCCTGTGTGTGCGTGTGTGTGTGTGTGTGTGTGTGTGTGTGTGTGGGGTATGTGGAGTCACTGATACTACTACTACTACTATATGTAATATTTATATATATATAATAATAATAATAATAATAATAATCACCAAGTCATAACATCCACTGCGGTAATCACTAAACCTGGCGTTGATAAGGCGGTGCCAAGACTGTATCTCATGAGGCGGGCGGGGCGAGGGGGAGGAGGAAGATGGGGCGTATAATGTAGGTATGTTGAAGATTAATATACCGTAAAGTATGTTAGTGCCGTGCGTGTGACACTAGCCAAGGTGAAGGTCTCTCTCTCTCTCTCTGGTAGTTAGGAAGAAGAGGAGAAAATGAGACAGAAATAGCAGACAGAAAGCCTGACTCATGCCCACAGCTTGACCATGCCAAACACTGACTCATGCCCCCAAACACTGACTCACTCCCAAACACTGACTCATGCCCCCAAACAGTTCATGCCCCCACACACTGACTCATGCCCCCACACACTGACTCATGCCCCCCAAGCTTTTGACTCTCTGTAACCTAAATCTAACCTATTTTTCCCATGTTTCTCGTCTCTATGTTCACAAGAATCCATCCTCCTCCTCCTCCTCCTCCACATAAAGATAGTTTCCCTACTGCCTGTACTGTACATATGGCTCCTAAATATATTGCTGTTTATAAATACAAACATATAGTGGGTGGTGGTGGTGGTGGTCTGCGTGATGGTGATGAGGTGGCAGTGGTAGTGGCCGGGGTGGTGGTAGGAGTGGTGGTGGAGATGGTAGAACAGGTGTTTGTTGCACCACCACCAAGAATACACGCCGAGAGAGGTGGCAGAGGGTAGTGAGGAGGCGGGATTTACATACAAGTACAGTATATGTATATATATATATATATATATATATATATATATATATATATATATATATATATATATATATATATATATATATTTCATGTAAATCACAATGGACGTGGATAAGATAAATCTTGATAAAATCACACGGAAAAGGGGAAACAACGGAGCACCTTAGCTTTCGTCTATTTAAGAGCATCTTCAGAGCAACTGGATTACATGGACAGAAAGCCTAAATATACAGGGTGACCTTAAAAACATGAGATCAGGTCATAATGATGTCATCCACTAATCCCCACACCAACACACATGTAGAGGCTTAAGAGGGGGGGTGACGTGACTAGTCAGGTCAGGTCAATAAAGGACCCACAAAATAACTATCATACATCTAGATCAAAAGGTTTTCAAAGCATTTTAACCTGGGCCACTGACAAATAAATTTATGAAACATATTATCAGTTTTGAACTGACCATCACTAAGTTTATTGATTTTAATTCCTTAATCAAACTAGCTTCAACCAAGTCTTTCTGTGACACAAGATGATTTAAATACTTCTAAGCTTTTTCCCAAGCAATAGGGTGATTATTATTCCTAACATGAGCGAACAAGGCACTGCCTTCAGATGCTGTTCTGATATTATACTTATGTTGTTTGATTCTGAGCTGCAGTGTTTTCCTGTCTGACCTACATAATTACAATTACATTTGCTACATGGAATACAATAAACACTTCCATTTACATTCAAACTTGGGCTATTCCTTATTAACATATTGGTAATGGTTGAGTCATATGATAACAACATTTATTTAGAAGCTTGAGGACCGAACTAACGGGACAAATTCATTACGATAGGGCAGAGTCAAAATATTCTTAAGTGTAGGAACTTGTCTGGTTTGAGAGGAATGAAAGG